TGACTGATTCATTTTTTGGCAGAGCCATCATAACAAAGTAGAACAATAACCTTTATGCAGAGTTAGCTCTCACTAAGGGGAAAAAAAAAAGCCACACACAAAAAATATAAAAAGAAAAAAAGGGGTTTTTTAACCTATATGAATAAAAAAGGTGGGAAAGGAAAAAATGCATAGGGAAAATGGAGATTAAAAACGTCCTCAGAATTAATGCTTTGATTTAAATATTCAGTAAGTAGGATTATCAGAAGAGGGGAAGAACCCCCAAAGGCTAAGAGGAATTAAAATGCAGGTAAAAAAATTCAAATATCACGTTTTACTCAGTCTGGGAATACTTAAAAAAAACAACAAAACAACCCACAACCAAAAACCAAAAAACATCAAGAACTTGAAAGGTACTGAAACTGGGGAGATGTCATTTGAACAGCCTTCACTATTAGCAAAAGGCAACAGACCTGGACAACCATCAGACGTCTACAGAGGGCAAGACTAGCACATATCACAGAGGATTAGAGAACAGAGAAAGTGAGAAGTGGGATAAAACAAGACTTGGATTTACCCAGAAGCAGATCACTCGAAGCTAATCTCTCTCTGTAGTAAAACTATTCAGTTTTCCTGTATAGACAAGATGCTGTTATCTGGACCTCTATAAATGTGATAACATGCTTAATAAGAAGTTAAGATGGAGAAGCTGGGTTAGGACAAGCCACATGGAAAGATAAAGTTTGTGTTTGGAAAAAGGTTACTTAGGATGTGACTCCTCCACAAAACCAATTTTGTACAGGGACTAACAAAATTAGGATCTGTTGTCAATATGAAAACAGATTAGATCTCCTCAATGATCTTGAGAACTGAAGTGACAGATATAAGATGAAAACATTGTCATGTTTTGAACATGAAAACACCTTCATGTTTTCAGGGAAGTGCAAGCTATTTGGGGTCAAATAAGAATCAGCAGCATATGAATCAAAAATAATCAAGAAGAAAGGCTTGAGCTTCTTTGCTGGTGACAGAGACTGCATGCATCCCAAAGTGTAACCCAAGGCAGTATAAGAAGAGAGAGCTCCAACAGAGAAAACAATTACATTAGGGTCTTGTTATACAGGGACTATTATTTACAAGTCTGACTGCCTTTCGGGAAAGTCAAACTAAATCAAGTTGAGAGAAATCATCTCACCAAATGAAAACTTGAAATTACTTTACTTTTCTTTCCTAACATGAAACGTAGGAGAGAGATTTGCTCCTGCATATTCCTATTGGAAGGGTATATACTAAGGAGGAAAAGCTAGAGGCAACACTTAAAATACAAAGTTGTTAGACACCAAAGTAACAAGCGTCAGGAGCAGACTTCCAAGTAGGAATAGTTTTAAGAGAAAACAAAGTTATGTTTAATGATCCAGGAGTCCTCCCCAGTCGAGCTGGAGCTCAAACAATAGAAATGTAGGAAATACACAATATTCACAGTGCAATGGTAAAACAGGGATATCTCCAGATGTATACCAGCAAACAATCAATCTTGTTAACCCTATTCTGAATCCTTAGCTGCTGAAGTAGACTGGTTTCTTCAGAAGGAAAAAAAAAAAAAGCTAGCTAAAAGAGCTAGTTTTAATTGCTGGTTCTCCTTAAAGCACAAACCATCGTGCCATGGAAGTGGTATCCTGTACTAATCACCAGAAACGTACACAGCGATTATAGCACTGGCTGCCATATCAGAGCTTGTTCTCACCTACTGACAGAAGACGCCACATAACGGCAGGGGTAGCAAAGCAAGCAAACACATCGTCAGTGCAGGCAAAGTGAGTGAGGTGGGGAAGGATCACTGACTGCCCACGGCATTGGCCCCACATGTACACCTGGCCGCTCTGGGTCTTGGCAGCCGACGTGTGAGCAGAGTGACAGGCTGCAATCTCCACAACCCTGCAAACAGAAGAAACCTTGTAAGATACTTACAGGTACAGAATCAGGCGACTTTCGAAATGGCTCACCAAAATAACAGCCAACCAAACTATGTATCTACACTCCTGTACTTCTTTCTTTGTCCTGCATGAATATGATACTGTTTGAATGGATCAATATTTAAAAATGGTGATGACATTTTCAGATTGCTCATAGATTTTACTGTAATCAGATATTGCTTTAATTTGAGGAGAGGTAAATACATGCACTTAACTCTACATTCTTGAAGAGCTATGATTGTTTTTTAAATAAAGTCTACATAGTATTTTCACCCACCTTGCATACTTCCTTAAAATATTAGAGCTGCTGATGCACACTTAGCTATTCTGTTCTCCCATTGCTCATGCAATCCCTGTCTTAATATCTGAAACATTACAAGAACTGAGAAGAATCATCCTTCCATTTAAAGGATCACAAGGACATTTCCAGTGTCTCTGTTCACACGATAAGCAAAAACCAGAAGTTTGAGCATTAGCTCAAAATAAAAGCTACGCTTCCCTGTTTTTTCTCCATGCTACAAACGCATCAGAGGATTTCATGCTTTTGTGCCAGAGACAGATCAACTGGGATAAACAAATGTCTTTTCAAGCAGACTAAGAATACACATATAAAAATGTTTATTCCTTTACAGAACAATATCCATGAAGACTTAGCTTTTTGGGCAAAAAGCTTTGTTAGCACAAAGCCCACAGTTTAATTGCAAAAATTATTTCAAGATAAAACACAGGAAGAGTCTACAATCACTTTCAGTACAGGTATCAATAATTTCTGGCAGATAAAAGACTAATGATTGTTTTACACTGTTATCAACTTATGAACCTCTATGCAACTGAGATCTTTAAGCATCTCTGCATGAGGCATCATAAAGTAATTATTTTAGAGACAACTTATAGTACATGTACAGTATAACATGTTAAGCATATACTTAACATCAAAATTCAGGAAGCTGACCTTCATAACTGTTCCTCCAAGCTAACACAAAATAAAGTCTAAAAGTTCCTTACAAGCTATATGTACAATATTCTTCAAGACAGCATCAAATGCCACCTCCTAAGGAACTGTCAGCAGCATTCCATATAAATGACAAAAGAGTTATATAAATGATAGGCCCAGGAAAAGCAGCATTAGTATGCTTCATGGGAAATGACAGCTCACCCACTTACAGCACTGTTTCCAAGGGAGCCAAGTCAAGCAAGATGAGTAAGTTCAAGTGATTTATCTCTCCGTTAGACTCCAAGCAGAAGTTTTATGATATTTTCTCCCTCCTTTAGTCATTGAAGAAATGCCAGTTTTATTATAATCCCATGCTTGAGTTCACATACAATTCTAAATGCAACAGTTCCTCCTAGTTCACTCAAGAAATAAATCGCTAAGAAAACAAAGGTGATCTATTTGCAAACATATACATTTCTCTTCCAGAGCCTTTTTAAAGAATATTTCATTTTGCTTTTCTAGTGTCAGTTCCTTCACAGACAAGCCAGCCTCACCTCAGTGGTTTCTACTGTGATGGTTCCTTCTTCTTTCCCCTTACCCATTTTTAAGCTCTTAAATAATCTCAGCGTTCTGCAGTTTTTAATTTAATGTTAAGAGTGAGAAACAGGAAAAAATTACTTCCCAGAAAGACAGTTCAGAAATGGAGGAGAAAAAACAACCACAAGTGTTTCCTAGTTAAGAGGAGAAATCTCAGCATTCTGCAGTTTTTAATTTAATGTTAAGTGTGAGAAACAGGAAAAAATAGGAATGACTTCCCAGAAAGACAGTTCAGAAATGGAGGAGAAAAAACAACCACAAGTGTTTCCTAGTTAAGAGGAGATTACAAGTCAAGAGATTTACAAGTTAAGGGATTTATAGACTAAGAGGTTTCCAAACTGAGGTACATTAATCTGTAGGTATACACATGGGTCCAGAGAATGGGACTGAGGTTGAAGTTTGTAGATGAACAGCCATCCCAAATACGAGGATGACAAGGGTGCTGAAAGAGGGTGGACAAGGATTAGGGTTATTCTTTTATGAGTTTAGGAAGCTAAGAAGCTACTACTGACTGGTACCACTAATAAAAATAGTATTATCTGCCATTAGCTCTAGCAACCTTACAAATCAAGTTCTGTTTTCATGGTTAGCTATTGTCAGCCTTTCAGAAAATTGTTTTTTCCTCACATGTCAGTTCTTACAAAGGTAGTGTTTCCTTCCCCCTCCATTTATTTGTTTTTTGGTTGGGTTTTTTTGTTTGTTTGGTTGGTTGGTTGTTTAATGTAGGCATCAATACAGCTCAAAAGCTTGGCTCATCGATTTCACAGCTCCAAATTTTTAATCAAAGGAACCATATTTAGAATAGCCTAACACTTAAGTCATTCATTATCTTTCAGTATCAGGTAAATACAAAGTATGTTCACTTTCAAGAATGACTACAGATAGCAAAGAGGACTCAGTCTATAGTAAACAGTAAGTTACCATCCTTTCCTATGCTTTCAACATTAGCGAGAGAAAAACAACCCACCAAGCCCTAAACACGCATGCTCCCAGTGCTAGAGACTGCATAACACATGCTCAGACTTATCAATCCAGAAACAGCTTCAGCAAGATTACCTTTCTTTTTCCATCATGATCTGCACTGGGCTTAGCTGGTTACTTTTATTGCCAGTTCCCAGCTGCCCATAAGTGTTAGCTCCCCAGGCATAGAGCAAACCCTCATCTGTTAGTGCTAGTGTGTGCGCATAGCCACAGGCAATCTGTAAGTAAATGTATAAGCATTACTACTAAACAAAACAAAGATGAGAAACAAAATTATCACACACATTACCTTTGTCTAGCTGATGTTAAATATCTCAGGCATTCTTCATTTAGCACTACAATATGTTATTTCTCAGTACTTAAAGCTAACACAAAATACATTAACTGTAAGTACTGGAAAAAGTTCCAACTTCATTAGTGTTCATTGGTTACTCCTTAACAATTTACTGCACTCTTGCAAAGTCTCCCTAGCTTTTACTTGCTTTCAGTTGCAGACTCTTCACATGAAGAGCAGCGAACTTCATCATCACATCTTGCAGCTCTGAAATGCTTTCAGAATTTGGTATTTTGAATACTATACAAACTATGAGAGCTGCAGTTCAACAGCCAACAACCGCTCCACTCAAGTTAATCACATGAAACTCCATAGAACCTTACTAAAAACCCAGGAAATCCCAATTTTTAGTTTTATTCTTCAGTTAGGAGAGAAAAAAAAAAGAAAAAAAACCACCCACCCTAAACAAGACCCAACCACCAATCAATCAAACCCACAGCTCATTTTCCCTCTCCCCTCACTTCTGAAGAGCTAATTAAAATACTAATATAGAATATAATTTGAACATCATCTTCATTTCTTGCCTTTGCCTAGCGCATTTCATTCATTCAGCTTTGATACAAAGACGCAATTTGTATCTATAGCATAATTTCCTTATAGTTACACTAGCTAACTTTAAACCATTCAAACATGTACAAAAGCAAGTATTTTAGCACGCACTTGCACTTTTTACAAGCCTAATATAATTTATAGGAGCAAAATAAATTCTGTATTTGAACTGTGAAATCTAGAAGCAGATTCCAAAGATGCAGTTTTAGCAGATGCTAGAAACATGAATGCATTTTCATTTCCATGTTAGACATACCTGGAGTATACACACACCATGTAACGCTGCCACTCTGCATGGTGTTAGTTGATTGCCATTGTTTCCAAGACCTAGCTGACCATTACCATTGTAACCCCAGCCATAAACCTGATTGCAAAAGGAGAACAAAATTAAGTCACTCCTCTGTAGAAGTATAGAACATTTAAGATTTAGTACCAAGCATAAGTCAAAAAAGTACATCTTATTAAAAAATTGTACGCTATTTCAAGAACAATATAGAGAAGGTTGAAAGATATTAAATATACTGCAATGACTGACTGAATTCAACTTTTCAATCCTCCATTTACCTTTTAAAGAAATTTTCTAAAATATATTTGTCTTTGAAGTACTAGGAATTTTGCAATAAACTTACAATAGACCAAAATCTCTCCCGTAGTGTCAACATTTTCGTTGCCTTTTACGCCTTTCTCCTTATTACTTTTTTTTTTTTTAAAGAAAACAATAAATTAGTTATTCTGATCAGCTGATTAGCTATTGGATTAGTTTAAACTCAAGTCTCCAGTTTAGCTCTGATTTTTCCTTTAGTTTTGTTATGGCAGACACATCAAGATAAAAGTATGTACAACGAAAACTCAACAAGTCTCAACTTCAGGGACTTTTTACAGTCCCTCCAGTCACAAAGAAATGCTACGCTTCAAGTTTGGTGAAGTGTAGTAAAAATTGAGGTTACAGTTCATACCTAGAAGCAAGATAGTACCATAAACTTATGTGAAACGGAACAGTTGCACAATACTAGGGCAATGTTCAAAAGCTTGGTTTGGTTTTCTTGCTGGCAATTAAGCAATGAACCAGGATCAGTCAGCATATTCTTGCAGAAAGGTTAACTATTTAATTGTGTTCGCTTTCAAAAAAAAAATCTAATTAAGACATAGGGTAAACAATTTACTGAAGTAAGGAAGACAGACATGCTTAATATAACTGTTCAAATTCTTGCAGTTGCAGACTCAGCAAGAATTATGTTCCAATACAGTCTTTGCCATAAGAAGGAATGTTTAAAGAATGTTTAAAGTATCTCCAGTTAATTGCAGTTTTCCTTAAATTAGTCTCACAGAAGTCATCAATATAACTCTATCAGCATTACTCTAACTTGAGCATTCCGTGTCAGCATTTCTCCGTGTTTAGACATTAACCTCTTAAGTTTGGGTAATAGAGAGAGAATGTGAGAATGCAGCAATGCTTACCTCACCATTGTTTACTACAGCCATGGAGGAGGTCTGACCACAAGCAATGCCAACTACCATTTTGCCCTGTAAACAGTTTGAAACTCTGCGAGGAGTTGGCTGGTTTGCTGTAGATCCAGATCCAACTTGACCACAGTTATTATAGCCCCAAGCGTACAGCTGTCCATAAAAACAAACAAACAAGAAACTGCAGTTTAAGCCTTAATAATAGTAATGATAGTAATAAATTATAATCTTACTGTAGTGAGCAACAGACTGGGTAAGCTATCCTATTCAATGACCTAAAAAGCTTAAAATTAATTTTCAATAGCTGAAAATTATGAACGGCAATAGGACTGATCTAGCAAATATGAATATAGCACTCTTTTTGGCTTCTTGCTACTGAACCAGAGCATCTGACCACAAGAGGAAACAAAAAGAACATATTTTTATATTAAACATAAGTCAGACTATAAGACAAAGAGCATAGTGAGTGGACTGTCTTTATACTTTCATGATGTTGGAAAAAGGAATGCAAGCCAGAATGTTATTTGTTTTCCAGACAAGCTGAACTCCCCAATTTACAGCTTTTTAGTTTTCTTTATAGAACTCAAAACCAGGTTATTGCTGGACACTCATCATACATCTTTTATATCTTTCAAGAGCCATGAAAGGAGATGGTTTTGTCAGCCAATGTTTCACAGTAGCAAAACTCTGTTACACAATGACATTAACAAAAACCCACTATCTCTGACAGTTCAAAGTTTGCCAGTGGCAATCTAATAATAATAAGACCAAAAAACATTTATTCTTTTTATCTAAAAGTCTAGAAGACAGGGAAGTAGTTTGCTATTAAAAAAACATATTTACAGCTTTGTATTTTGAGTTCCTTCATTTTTTATTATGTGCATACACACCCATAGCTTGGCATAAAACTGATTTCTCACATTTCATTCTCTGGTGCTTCACCCAGTTAAAAAGCGTGTCCTCTTGGAAATACACAGCCACAGATGTGCTAGTCAGTAAAAGCACACTGACAGATGTGACATTCACCCTAATGTGAATTCTGCACATCCTTTGGTGCCAGAAGCTGCCTGTTTACTGTGACACCAAACCAAAAAGTCAGTCATTAGAAACAAACACCTCTGCCACCATCACCAAAAAAATAAAAAAAACCTACCCCCCCAAAAAAAACCAAAACACACCAACCAAAAATACACCCACCAAAGACAAGAACAAAAAAAACCTCTCACCCACCAACACAACTCATTTACTGTGTACTATATGAACAAAAGAAAGCATTACTCCTTTGCTTTTTGTTACTTGTATTTGCTGGATCTTTGATTCCTACTAGATATGTGAAGATGTTATATGAAGTATCTTAATTTCAAGAACATGGAAAAAATTAAGGTAGAGAATCTCAGACGATAGATCAAAATACCAAAGAGTTAATCAGTTTCCTTTCTCAGAGAAGCACGAATATCTGCAGTCCTTTAAGTCTACCGTTAAGATATATTATTTTTGTTTTTAAATTTGCACTGCATTAAAATTGCACTGAATCAACTGTACAAGTCAATTATGCCAATTCTTTCCACAAATGCTTCCAATTTCAATGCCTCTGACACTCCAGATATATCAAGTCACAAGGGAGTTTGCAGCCAAATATTTCTGTAAATAAAACTCTACTTAACACATTTCACTGCTTTCAGTATAACCAATTCTGGTACAGATAAAACCTCAGAGCACATGTAGACTAAAGCTACTCAAGGTACACTAGGGATGGATTTATAGTCTATTAACTAGCCACAATGGCAAGCAAGCTGCAAATGTCAACTCCGTGGTAAATACAAAGAAACTTCCCCACCTCCATTGAGATTTCAAGCATGTTAATGTTTATTAGAAGAGGCAGCATGGCCATCACAGGCAGCTACCACACAGCAGCAGACACCACTAGTTTAACTAATACATGAACACCCTTGCCTTCCCGCATGCAAACCAGATTTTTTAGATTAACCAAGTCAAATGTGACAGCATGAAGATCTTTCCTGAGTGCAGGCTCTCCTTTCAGATACAACAGAGACCACTTTAATTAATACAATGTATCTTTCCTACCCTCAAAATACTGATTTGCTACTTGGTATTACTGTTGCACTATGACTCCATACTGAATCATGACACAGGCCCAGATTACCAGGATGGAGAGAGCTGTAGTTTCCATTTTCATTGTTAGGAAAGTTTTAAAATTAGAACTCTTCTTTTGTTAAAGCAGAGATGAAAACAGGTTTTTCTCCATGCAGTAACATGCAACTCAAATCAGATATCCACACACCAGTCAAATCTGACTAACTGGAAACTAATTGTACATGTTTCCCATGACACATAGCCTTAAGCCATGTCAACAAAGAGGATAAAGGAGACTTGGATATAAACCAAGTGCTCTTTCATTAGCTACGCACAAAGGTATTCAGAGGTGTGCAGAGCAACATTCTTTCACAGTACCAGTGTGGAAATCACCAAGACTACAAGAAACAGACTAAAGGCTAACCAATGAACACAAACAATTCAATATACCCTTTAAATAACAGACTTGCCAGCAAATAACAATGTTACATTTTGCACCTCACATCATTCTTTCACCTCTAAGTGGCACAGCTTTCTAGTCTCATCTCTGTGAGACATACAACAAACAAAAGTTCAAAAAGCTTACTAGCCTTTTATTCCCTTGTTTTTGTGGTTGGGTTCTGGGTTGGGTGGGGGTTTTTGTTGGCATTTGTTGGTGGGAACTTTTTTTGGAGTTGTTTTCAAGTCTGCTCTGAAGAAAAGGACACCCTAGTTTGAAGCAGCAGGAAAAAAGGTTATGTTGTTAACTGCACTGTAGAGAAAGAGAGAACTTCAGACAGCAGTCACCTGCACTATTCACTTCAAGAAGGAGATTAAGAGGTTTGAACAGGTTTCAACTTACATCCCCATCAAATGACAGTGCCATGGAATGATGAGAGCCACAAGCTACTTCCACCACCTTCTTTAATAACAGATTTGTGCAAACTTGAACAGGACTAATGCCCTGATTGGTTGTGCCATTCCCAAGCTGGCTGTAACCATTATGGCCCCAAGCATACACTTCACCATCTGCAAAAATATTTAAGTTTGTGATTAAAAACCACCAAAAATACCAAGTAAGTTAAGATAGATAGATAGATAGAAAGAATTCTAAGAAATTAGCAAATGCCAAGATGAAAGTTAAAGGACATTAACAAATAGTGAAATTATTACAAGAATCATCTGTATACTAAAAAAAATCATGTACTTTGTATACAACTATTTTATACACATATATCACAGTATAGCCTCTAGATTTATTGTGGAAATACTTATGCAGTTTCATGTAAGACCAAGGATGTCATAAAGGATAGAGTAAAACTCTACAGTTGCAACATAATGTAAGTGTAACGGAAACTTACTTTACCTATTACAGAACACATTTAGTTCCACTTAAGACCAATGAGAACCCCTTAGTGTACATTAACCAATTAGCAAGTTAATACAATTACACCTTAATCCATTCTTGTTAAATGCAAGTGGAACTTAAAATCTGTAACTTATGCTTCTATATTAAATGTTAATTTTCTACCTTCAGTACAAAGTACAACATGGGGTCCACTTCCATAACTGAGATTGGAAATCTTCTTTCCACATAAGGCTTCTAATTTCTTTGGTACTATTGTGCTCTGATTATCTCCAGTTCCCAAACAATTATTGCAATTCAGTCCAAAAACAAATACCTGAAAAACAGAGGAATACTCATTTCAAGTGATTCATACGCAGGTATGCACAGATGTGGTAATATCCAGGTCTTCATAAAGACAGACATAAGGACAGAGTTTTGCCATGGACTCTCAAAGGCTGGAGACTTCCCTCATATGGAAGTTAACAAGCTCAAGAGTCAGCATGGGGACACTTTGGAAGTTAACTGATGAGTGAATGCCTCAGATCTGCCCAGCTCTGTAAGCTAGGCTTCTCATTTGCAGGAACTTTACTATAAAAAGTATTGAAGTGTGAAAGTGGAAGACACCACTGTCCTTTAAAAGCAGTTTGTAAAAAGCAGCCACAGCTGTACTGTGAGAGGCCCATCCTACAGACAGCTTTGATAGGACTTGGTGGGGGGAGGCGAGCAGAATGTTACTCTACCCAGTCTTACAAGAAACCCTCCCAATAATACATCCCAGAACATCTGGCTTGTTTTCTTACAGCAGCACAATACTAACTCACATTAAGTTTCTGAATCATTAAAATCCAGACATAATCTTCTGCTGTATTGTTACTTAGCAAGCCATAACCTCATTTTATATTTTCATACCTGGAGTACTTGCACTTAATTTCAAGCTACCGCAACTTCTTTTGAATTCTGACCAGCTTCAAAAGTGCACGTAATCCACCCTAGCCTTTGCCGGTTTTAAGTTTTCTAAATACTCACTCTGTATTGCCCCCATACAAGACTAAAAAAAAAATTACAAGTTACATTCAATACGTTTTGAAATATTCAAATCTCATACAATGTTTTTGAGAAGCTATTAATTTACAAGTATCCAGTGGACTCTAAAAACAACTGATTGTAGAGTATATGTTCCACTTTATTACAGCCTTACCTCATCATTGTGTGTTATGTATATAGCTTCATTGGCTGATGTACCAAATACACATGCTTTCCGAATAGACGCTATTTCTTGAGGTGACAGTAAGGTGAATATTGGCCACTTGCCTACATCCACCATGATGCTGCTGTGTGTCATGACGTTTTTACAAACAAGACGACATTGCTGTAATAAAACCAAAACTTATTAGAAGTGTATTATGCACTTTCATCAACAGGCAATAAGATAACTTCCTTTAAATGAGAGAAAAAGACACATGTTGTGGCTCTGAAAGTATAACATTCTATTCTATATAAAATATGTAATTGTATTTCCATGTATTAAGGTGAACAAATAGCAGGTCACTGGTAGGGCATTGGAAGAACAGATCTTTTCTGAACAAGATATTTAAGTAAACTGTAGTCAGTATAATTGAACATCTGCTGTTCTACAAGCAAACTTACTAAAAACTTGTGATCTAGGAAATACCCACTAGTGGCAAAGTGGATTTCTGAGGGCATTTTCAGAGGGAATCAGTTGGAATTCCCATTTATAAAATTTTCACTCGTTAAATATTTTTGTAGTCTAACAACTTATATATGCCATGTAAGCAAGCTGTTGGATGTATATGTGAAACCTGCGGAAAAAAAAATAAAGCTGGGGCTGTTGAGCATATGACCTAAATCCGCCACTCTTGTGTAAACAAAAGCTGTTATTATGGTCAAAAACTATTTGTGAGAGCACAAAAGCACGAGATAAACTCATTAGTTTGTACAATTAAGCAGTGAAACACATCAGAGAAAAGTGATTACGTGAAATTCTCATAATCTGTTACTTAGAAACAAGCTAGACCATATTAAAACCTGGAAGCATGACTGGGTATAGACACCGTCTGTCAATGAACACAGATGTATACAATTCATCCTTCTACAATGCTCCTTTTTGTCAGTTTCCTCAGGGCAATTGCACCAGCTCAAGAACAAAGCTGACAGTCAAACCTACAGAGTTTATTTAGGCCTTCAATCCTGCACATAAAAACTGTAGTGCTGCTCATACCCTGAAGGGATTGTGTCACTAACAATCTATGATCTATGCTCAGGGGTATCAGCAAGTTTTGTGGAATCTGAAAAGCACTAGGTGGACAATTCCACAGAATGTCAGTGACATGATACAAATCACAATAAACCATTTTAGGAAAAAAAAAAAAAAAAAGGCAGCTAAGGAGTCATTAAATGAATAAGAAACACAGTCTCTATCCAGATGCCATCTTCTCATCCAGATTTAGTTCTTTCCTTTTCATTTGTTTGTTCCAGTCCTATCCCATCCCCTTATTCTTTGCTCTGTTGCTTTCAAGCCAGGCTGCTTCTTGATGATGCCTGGGTATCAGATATGGACAACACCGAGAACACAAGAGAGCCTCTTGCCCTTGCTTCTGATGCTTGGTTCTCAAAACTGTGCCGACGACCAAGACATGGCTTCAGAAAGCTATTCAAGATGAGCAGTGAATCCTAAAATACAGGTCGTTCAGTGCAGATATTTTTTGGAAGGACAGGGTTTATTATTATTTTTTAAAAGTTTGAGAAACACTGAGCGTACAAAAAAAACCCAAAACCCCGACACAACACAAAACCCAGACTTGTCTCCTTATCAAATTTTGTAACCTTGCTCCAATAAACCCAGCCCTGCTCTATAGCTCTCTCAAAGAGCCTGACCTCACTCTACATTTCACATTTGAAGTAGGTCTTTAAAACACCTGAAGTCTCCAGATGGCACATTCATAATAGATGTATTTGCAGAATAGCTTTTGAAAGTCTACCTGATGCCAAGACCACGGCATATTCTACACAGCTAAACAGATTTGAATGCATTTAAGCCTTCTTAATTTCTAGTCCAGTTACAAACTCAGGCTAGTTAGCTGCTAAGATTTGTTACCTCACTTTGGCAAATCTGTTAACGTATGGCACTATCAATCAACTAAAAGGAGATAGCAATGACTTGTTCTTTTGAGCAGACCAAGTAATTGTACCTGCTGACTTTACCTATTTAATTTGCTTCATATAATATACAATTGGCAAGGCATAAACATGTCATGAACTGGACATTAAGAAAAATATTTTCTTCACGGAGTTCTTTTCAACACATCCTGTCAATTTAAGACATGAAGACAAAAAGTTATTTTGATAGAGAATGTCCTAGTAAATTAACAAGAGAACCTATTCTACTCTAAAAGTAACCAGTTTAAGATGTGCTCCTTTATCTCTCCCTTTCCGATCTTTGCACTAGGTCTTTAATCTGCTTGGCTTATTTTCTGCTACTGTATGACTCAGTTAACCACTCCTCTTTGGTAAAACCTTTCCAAGCACTTCCAAAACCTGTGGAATAATACTGCATTTCCCATACCTCAAAGCTCAGCTAGACATCTTGTCAGACAAGCTAATACCAGTAGATAAAAGAAAAGCTTTCAAGCACACAAGACTTTCCAGATTGAAGACACGAGCAATGAACTCCATCTACAGACGAAGAACCTTACAATTTCTGACAGGTGTAACACTGCTTTATCTAAACCAATGATGTATAGATCCAATTTCAACTGTTACTACAATCCTACAAAGTTATTTCAAAGGTTTTCCCTAAAAGGTTTTTAATGACAATTCATCTGCCAGTGGTAGGTTAGTTTCTTTAATAAATCTCAATCCTAAAGTCTCTCTAGGTATAGCAACAAAAATCCTTAAAAACAAAATGGAGCAAACAAAAAAACACACCTTTTGCCTTTTACATAATACGTACTGTTTCTCCTCCCACACACTTTTTGTCTCCTCTACAAATATTGTCCTTAGATGCTGCCATTTGCTGGAATACCTGTCATCATTCAGTTGCAACATTTTTACAATAGCAACAGCAGCTATTTTTGTTTAAGATTATGTCTAAATGAATGAAATAACATACAAATCTGAAAGTTCTGAGGTTTATACATGGACTATCATTCTTAGCTTTAACTGTGCACAGAAAGCTGTTTTAACTACTTATTCTCCATTTTCCACAGAAAACAAGTGCCCAACCTAAGCATAAGCACCACCTTTTTCCTCTCTAAAGATGGATTCCTTAACAACCTTAACCACTTTCCTAATGTTCCAATAAAAGTTCTAGCTGCCGCAGGAAGGGAAAAAAAGATCTACAGTGGGGAAAAAAGTATTTGGGGAGTATATATTTACATATAGTACTGTAAATGGAGATGTCAGTAAATTAACTCTGTATTATTAAAACAGAAACCAAATTAATTTTAGTATCCTCTAAGACATACTGCATACTTTCCAAAAGGGTAGACAGGCTGCAATATTGTGATTGACCTCTCACACCAATCTCACTCAAACTTCATCCTAGCACAACATGTGTTTGAATATGGGGGGGAAGGCGTGTGCAGAGGTTCTTCTGGGCAAACCCTTGCAATGAAAGGCTGATATAGGAGACTTCAGTTGTATCACTGCAAGCAGTTGCACAAAGAAACACAGTGTCCTTCACTCACCCTTCCTGTACTGCATCAAGAGAGCTAAGTTTACTGTTTACTTCTCCTGATAATCACGCAGAGGCCTGGACTCACTACCTTACATACTATGCAACAACTGCACCTTAACTGGAAGTTTGTAAGTGCAACGTAGTAGCAAATGTACCAGATGGAGTCCAAAGTAATGAAGGTATTTTAATCTGTATGCAAATAGCTGTCTTAATATATTAGCTTTCAAACTATTTAGATTCTGTATTCAACATGGCAGCAGCAGTTCTAGGGAGTATCTGTCACATATCAACATCTAGATTTTAAGTTAATTGCAATTAAAAACCTCATGAGTATAAAAGTCATAAGCTTAAACGTGGTGCTCTGGTAGATAGTTGCTTTTAGAAACACTGTATGACACTGCTTTTAACTGTCTTTTCACTTCTGCTGCATGATACAATGATAAACAACTATACACCATATAGCTTTATTTCCACCGCAGAACTAACCAGCAGAGGGAGCTTATATCAACAATACCTCTTCTAACCATTATGACATCTTTGTATACTGATATTGTTGGATAATTTCAAACAGGAACAGAAACAATGATGATTGAATTTCAGTGAGGCTAAAAATAAGCAAGAAAGGATAACTTGTAGAGGAGGAAACTAAACTGGCCACATATTGCGATAAAAAGAAATTGAACTCAGTGCCACCACTAACAGGGAAAAATCCAGATCTGCTCACAATTAAAAGCTTTCAGAGACAAAAGTCTTTCAAAAATTCCATGCTCAACTGCTGCCTACACATTCAACTTCTCACTCACTAGTGTGCTTTCTAAAGAAACAGTCTGCAGGCTGATTCTGAGTGATACATGCAGGCAAACATGAATCCCTGCCATTAAAAAAAAAAAAAGACAAAAAAAGACAGTGTTTCTCTAAAATCATTACAAAATGTTTTGTTACAAGTTTTACAGAGCTTATAGTTCAGCTAAACAAATCCATGCTGGAGAGAACAATGGCCTAACACAACATCCTACTGGGAAAACAGTACCAATTGTAATCACAACAAAAAACTATAGTTAACTCCTCAAAGATTATCCCCCCTTATTTTTAAAGGCTATTTGAACACAACTGCATGTTTGTTTGTTTCACTCTTTAGCTCCAATGCTGCAGTTTATTCTAGCTAGGCAGACTTACTCTTGCACAGAAAGAAACTGCAGGCTCAGGCCTTCGTTTCTGTAATTCCCATAGACAATGAGGAAACAGCAACGAGAACACAAAAGCTGGGATATCTGCCTTTAGAACAACATGAAATGGCTGGCACACTTGATCCATTTTTAATTTTAAGTACACCTCAACCAAGAGATAGTCAAATCCTAGACATAACACTAATCTTCCCCATGTTTTCTCCAGTTTATGTTTGGCTTTTTAATCTCATATTTCAGTATTGAGAAAGAACAGGGAAACAATACATAATATTGGCATTAATCTGATGCATGAACCAAGTGATTTTATTGTGGCTTTCTCCCTGCCAACGAAAAGATATTGCACTCCTTAAAATAACGTGCCTTAACTTACTTTCCTTAGGCCTTACATAAAGCAAGATGTCTATGACAAACTCTACATGTTCAAACTCTACATGTTCAAACTCTACATGTTCAAACTCT